TTCATCGTTGAGATTCCCCCGCATTTGACGGTCCACCCGATCTTTCACGCTTCAAAGCTGGCAGTTTACACTCCAGCCTCCGCCGCGGACTTCCCAGGCGGACGGTCACAGGACCCTCCTTCAATGGATGGTCATCAGGAGGTCGACCGCGTTCTCACGCATCGCAAGCATGGCAACAAGTCGATGCAGTACAGAGTTACATTCAAGCAATGCAATCGGAACGACACACGCTGGATCTCAAGAGCTGATCTGAAGGCGACAACACCCCTCATCTTCGCGTATTACGAAAAACAGCGACTTGCTAAGGAAGCTGCCCAACCTGCCCGCCCTGTGCGGACATCGGACAGATAGCTTCGCCCTCGCAATTAGCTTGGCGGTCTTTCAAGGGGGGGAGTGTGTGGCATACCGAGCCACACGGGCCCTAGTGAGGGCCCGATTCCAGACAGGCAGGGTTAGCCGAAGGGACGACGGTTCAAATGAGGCTCAGAGGGGCCTGGACCACGGCGGTTCAGGCAGGCCCAGGCCGAATGGCCACAAGGCTGGTACCGGTCCAGCCTAGGACCCACCAGCGGCGCTTCAGAGGCTGTCACGATTTAGGCGCCAACGATTTTCAAAACAGGACCGTTGATCTGGATCAACGGTCCAGTCCGGTAGGTACCAGTAGGCAAGAGGCCGGTCCAGCCCTACAAAAGGCTGGGTACCAGCCTCAGTCTGGTAGATTAGTATGAGGTTAGTCTGGGCGAAGTTAGTCTTCAGGATTAGCGCAACTTGGCTGCGTTAAGCAGATTAGCGCAGCACAACATCGAGAGCCAGAGCAGCAAGGAGACAGCGAGTGCAGCAGCGGAGGGGACAGCACAGCGGCCTTGCCGCGCCATAGCCAGGTACCGGGAGGAAGGCTCGGCCTTCTCTCCCTTTGCTCCTCTGCCCTCCGGCTCTCTCTCTCTCTCTCTCTTCTCTCTCTCTCTCTTTCCTACCTTCTCAGTCTAGTCTGGGTTCTCCTACGGGACTACTGCAGATGAGAGATGATTATGAGTTTTGGTGACATATGAGACAACGACATTGGGACTACGAGGTGAGGACTATTTGGGGATCTGATTTCATCTTCCTTTTGAATTTTGTACTTGACATTGTGAGATCGACATCTGGGATATTGTGAGACTTGGCATTCGCGACATTTCGAATTTTTGTCACTTCTGACAGTTCAAGATACTATCTTTGGAAACATTGAGTTGACGTCATCTTCCCTCTCCTCCTCCTTCGTCTCTCTCCTCTCTCCTTTTAACCGTGTATGATCTTGATCCCTGGCCCTTCGTCTATTCTCGAGGCCAGGGTATTCACGCCTTGATGAATGTTTGAGAGTGTCTTGATTGCATTCCAAGTCAAGTCTGAGCCAGTCGAAGGTATCTCAAGTCTTCCGCTTGCATCTATAACTCTGTATAATCTGGTCGGTTCTGGGAATCTGCGCCATACTTATGACTGTGTTTCATGAGTATGCAACACCTAGTGTGCTTATCTTGGTCTCTCCTTTCCCTTGGCACATTCTTGACCCCGAAATTCTGCCGAGAATTCTAAAAAAATAAATATTATTTCTCTCTTCACATTTTGTTTCCTTATTTCTTCAATTATTTTTATTATTTATTTATTTCCTTATTTATTTTTATTTTTCTCTTGAAATTTCGCTGTTTATTTATTTTTCCTCCCGCCTTCCCTCCCTATGCTTGCTATTTTATTTTCTTCATTAGGTCACCAGTACCCTACCCTAACCACTCAAACACTGGTTAGGGTTTTCTTAGGGTTTTTCTAGGGTTTAGGGTTTTCTTAACCCCCCTACTTTCCCTTTTCATTCGACCACCTTGGATCCGAACCACCCCTCCCCTTTTGACGGCGTCCACGCTCGATTTCCTAGCGCCGCCCGTCGCCTTCTATCGCAGACCTCCCCCTACGCCCTCCGCTCACGCGGACCTCCTCCGGCCCTCTCTTGTCCGGCCCGTTACCTCCCCATGGTCGACGGCAAGTCACAAGCCACCGAGGCGGCGACAACCTCGGTATCGGGCTCCACACCCGTGCCGACGGACCAGGGCCATCAGCCCCAGGGGGATCTGCACACCCTCATCACATCCCTCCTAGCGCCCTTACAAGCGCATATGGCGACTCTTGCCGCTGGCCTTCGGCAACTTCAGGATGCTGGTCATCCTTCCTCTCCCCACTCTCTCTCTTCTCCTGGCTCCCAGTCCGGGTCCCCTGTCCATCGACATGGTGGCCACGGCGGAGCTTCCTCCTTTGTCGCCCCTGATCCGGTCATCCTAGTGACCGCCCATGCTCCTAGCACGACGGCTGTCACAGGCCAGACCCTCCTTCACTTTACGGGCGCACCCGCCCAGATTCCGACCACTACGGCCACGGGACCACAACCCGCTGCCATGGTCTCATGCTTTTGGGGTGCCCCGCTTCTCCCTCCCCCTCGCACGGCCGCAGCGCCACCTGGCTCTCCCCTCTGTGGGATGCCCCGCGCCGCTCGTGCATCCACTTCCCCCATTCTTCCTCTTGCCACTCCTCGCTCGATCTACGTTCGACGTCTCGAGGACAAGCTTGCCCAGACCCGGGCCGACCTCGCCCTCTTACGCCTTCAACCACCCCTACCCTCACAGGTGGCCGCGCCTTCGGGCGCACCCTGTTCTTCCTCTACTCTCCCATTCTTGCCGCTCGCTTCCCCCGCCCCGCACCCCCTCCACCCCCATCCTACCTCCTTCCTACTCCCTCGGCTGTTGCAACCTCTTCCACCGCAGCTCCCTCGCAGCCTGCCGCTGTTCCCCCCCCCGCTCCACCATGCGGCCCGGGCGGACAGTTAACTGCACCCCCTTCTCCAGGACCTGTGCCGACTTACTGGGCCGTAGCGCAGGCCTCTGCTCCCCGTTCTCCTCGCCGCGAGAATGGTGGTGCACCACTCGTCCGCTTGACGAA